AACAAGTCTATCAATAAATGGACTCCAAGACAAAGGGGTTATGCAATTGGAAGAATTAATTTACTAGCCCTAATTCAGGTGAGCAATTTTATTTGCATTTGCTTCTAACTGTTGTCAGAGGACCTACTTCATTTGACTGGCTACACACGGTAAATAATGTTATGCATGATATATTCAAGTTAGCATGTGTTGCAAGAGGACTTCTTGAAGATGATAAAGAATGGATACAATGTCTTTAAGAGGCTGCAATTATGAGAACGGGATACCAATTAAGAAGACTATTTGCTATAATTCTAACGGAATATTTTTCATTGCATCCATTTATATTGTGGAAGCAATTCTCAGCACATATATGTGATGATTTAGCACACAGGATTCGTACTATGTTTGGTATTTTGAATCCAACTGATGATCATATTGAAGATTATGACTTATATTTGATGAATCAATTGCTCCATAAGTCGGGGAAGAGTTTAGTTGACTTTCCACCCATGCCACAACCAATTGGAAATTAGAATACAATAATTGGAAATAGATTATTGTTTGAACACCAACAACTTCAGATTGAAACACAACAATCTGATGCACAAATTAATGTTGACGGTCTTAATGATGCATAACTTACTGCTTATACTGCTGTCACAATGTCAGTATGTGAAAACATAGCAACTACTTTCTTTTTGAGTGTAGGTGCTGGGACGAGGAAAATATTTTTTGTATAATACTATTACAACCAAATTGCGTAGCTATGGACATGTTGTTGTTACTGTGGCTTCATATGGTATTGCATTGTTGTTATTGGTAGAGGGGCGCACTGCACATTCTACATTATGTATTCCTTTGAAAACCCTAGATAATTCAATATGTGGGTTCACTAAACAATCAATGCATGCCAAATTGTTTAGAAAAATAAAGCTAATAATATGGGATGAAGTTCCTATGCAGCATCGATACTGTGTTGAGGCAGTCGATCGGACCCTTCAAGATATCAGAGGCGATAAAAGACCTTTTGGGGTTATCACTGTTGTCCTGGGTGGAGACTTTCGACAAATATTGCATATTATTCCTAAAGGCGTTCGAGAGCAAATTGTGGGTGCATCATTGAGACAGTCTTTGCTATGGAAAGATATATGTGTTTTGACTCTGGGTTTAAACATGCGATTAATTAGCACAGACGTTTGAAATACTAATTTTGCTAAATTCTTGATGGAGGTAATATTTCATTTCACCTTGAATTGTTGAATTTTATAACATGATGCTTTGAATTAAATCTCACTTTGTGACTAATTATACTTTCATTTTTTAGATTGGGACCAATCCACAAGAAATTGTGCAACTTCCATCTACAATAAACTGGTGTCACTATCTAAATGAATTGATATTTAGAATCTATCCACAATTGGATGTGATTGGTATAGTGACTCCAACCTTTCTCACTGAATGCACAATTCTATTTGCGCGTAATGACGACGTCAGTGATATAAATGCTACAACACTGAATATTACTCCAGAAGAGACAATTACTTTTTTAGCTGCAGATAAAATGTCTAAAGGTGATGAGCTTGACCGTACCATTAGGAATCGATATCCTAATGAGTACTTAAACTCGCTGAATCCTTCAGGGTTGCCACCGTTTAAATTGGAGTTGAAAGTTGGATGCCCAATAATGTTGTTACGAAATATTGCACCGAATGATGGACTTTGTAATGGCACGCAATTGATGGTTGTTAGATGTGCCTCAAGGGTAATCGAAGCTCAGATATTAAATGAAGATAAAATTGGCAATTTAGTCTTCATTCCGAGAATATCAATGGCACCAGCATCTTTGGACTTGCCTTTTTGAATAACAAAACGTCAGTTTTCTGTCCGATTAACTTATGCTATGACAATCAATAAAGCCCAAGGACAATCTGTGNATGGTTGTTAGATGTGCCTCAAGGGTAATCGAAGCTCAGATATTAAATGAAGATAAAATTGGCAATTTAGTCTTCATTCCGAGAATATCATTGGCACCAGCATCTTTGGACTTGCCTTTTTGAATAACAAAACGTCAGTTTTCTGTCCGATTAACTTATGCTATGACAATCAATAAAGCCCAAGGACAATCTGTCAAATTCGTTGGGATTGATTTACGGACACCTGTTTTTAGTCATGGACACCTTTATGTGGCACTATCTAGATGCACATCTTCGGATCGTATTACTGTCCTCCTTTCGGAAGATAAGTCAAATTGCACTACAAATATTGTTTACCCAGAAGTTTTATTATAAGATTCTTACGACAAGTAAATGGTATAGTTTAAACAAGTTTATTTCTACTGAATTATGTAATCTTTTCATCATTTCAACTTTTAGTTTTACAATGAGATTCATTCTTTATAGGATTGGAGTGAATTTGTCAACGAGAACGATAGTATATATACAATGGACCTTTGTGGATGGAGCCGACGTAATCAGGTAAATCTACTTTATGTCACTGTATCAAAATAACTTTACTATTCCTACAATATAAATATTGTATTAATTTTATTGTTTATGTGAATAATTTAGGTGGTTGTGCATTCTCTTCATTGGCAAAGTGCGTTCGTATTGATACGAGGACATTAAGGATAGTGATGAAGAGAAGGTTTAAAGGGATGAAGAAGACATTTAAAAGAGTTAAATGATATGCAATCCAATACTGACCTGTCCACCTTTGACGATGACTAACCCATCACTGACCAAACAATTGTCAAGGTGTGAAAGTCTTTCTTACTAAAACTCTCTATATTTTTCTATTTTTCATGTAGACACACAATACATGCACAAACACACACACATAACTGTAACCAATCAAACACTCGCAAATCAAACTCACACACCATTATATTGTCACTAATACAGATTTATGATTGAAATCATTAAGCAAATGAACCGTCTGTTGAAATGATACTAAGAAAATCTTATTTGATTGTAAGTCTCTACATTCCTCCATATATTTTCCTAAATAAATTGATAATTTGTTACAAACTCTCTAAATTCTTACTTATATCAATCTAAATCATTCCTCCCCCCTCCCCCACTACATACAAATGTGTGTGCTCATTTGTTTTTTAGATAATTCAGGGTAATGTAATTAATTATATTGAATCCAACTAACGAAAAAAGTAAGGGGTCTTATGTTTCGGATTCACAATTGTTTTATTTTGACTCATATATTTCGATAATTTTTATATTTCAAATATTTTTAGGTATACATTGAAGGATACTTGGTGTAAGTTGTAAAGAATACGAAGTTGTTTTTCTATTTTGTGCATGTGTGTATTTTTTGTGTTCCGTCTTTTGTAAAGTTAACTAATTATACATAATTATGATGATTTTGGGTATGGAATGATGGTTGTTTTGGTGGTTTGGGTATGTAGTGATGATTGTAAGTTTTGTAGACAGGTTTATATTTTTCTGTATATCTATTTTTAAAAGAAATTCTGCATAAATTTCTTGAAATTAGTAGGGATTAACTTGATGTTTTGGTGGTTGGATATGTGTTNAGGTTTAGACTTTTCTGGAGATCTATTTTTAAAGAAAACTCTACCAAAATTTCTTAAAATTAGTAGGGACTAACTTGATATTTTGGTGGTTGGATATGTGTTGATGATTGAATATGTATTAATTATTGTGGTGGTATGGTAAATTATGATAATGTTATGTCTGATTGTAAGTTATTTTAGGTTGCAAAGAGTCTTTAAGTAATGTAGGTTTTTTTGAGTTTTAATCTAATTTTTCGTTACGCCGTGCCTTCACGTACAGACAATTACTAGTATACATATATACAAATATGGATATACATATATAAATATGTGTGTATATATATATATATATAAGTACATATACAAGTATGTATATACGTGTAAAGTGTAACATTGAAAGTAGAAAGTGTAAAGTATTACATTATTTCTCATCTTACTTAATAGAAAATGTAAAATGTTACATGTTAACATTGAAAGTGTAACACTTTCACACTTTCTCAATTAATTAGCATTTTTAGTGTAAGATGAGACATATATATTCTGTTTGTGTAAAATTTTAAGTAATGTCTCTCCTTACATTGTGTAAATAACTTGTTACATTGTTATTGCTACATTGTTATTATTATTTTCAATATTACCCTATAACACTTTACACTTTCTATTAAGAAATGTGAGACATAAAATAATATTTTACACTTTATACTTTTAATGTTACACTTTACACTTTCAATCTTACACTTTATACGTGTGTATATATATATACACACATGAATTAAAGTGCATTAAATATTAAAATTTTTCCATAAAATTAAGAGATATTTAATGCACCACTTTCCAAAGAATATACACATGGATCAATGGAGGACAAAAATGTCACAAAAAAATTAGGCAAATTCAAATTGTGTACTTAGATACAAATAAATATTAAAATTAAGAATTTAATAACTTTACATTTTTTAGTGTGTATTTTTTGTCAAATAAATTTAATTTAGTGTACCCCTTATAATTTACCTAAAAAAATTTGTAGGCCTAGTCCAACCGGGCCCATGAACATCCTTAATAATAAATCTTAGTATTTATCGAGTATCATAATCAATCCAATAGTTATAATAAATTATACGAATAAAGTATGTTAGCAAACGTTAAATATAATTATTGTTTTTTGGGCATTTTTAAGTCCTTGAATTTTTTTTTAAACAAAATTAATTTGCACTCTAATTGTAAGGAGGTTTACTGGTCAGAGTTGAACCGACCTGCTTGCATCTCCCCCAACTCCAAGGTTTAATTAGGGTTTTGCAGCATTAACGCTCAGCACCCCTTTCCCTCCATTTCCTCTCTCTCTTAGTCACTCTCTCACTTCTCTCCCAACCGCCAATTCTCTCTCTCTCCTCTTCCCATCTAGGTATGTTCCCTCTTACATCATTCAAACACTCACTTTCTCTATATTAACATTTATCGCTAATTTCACTTTCCTCTATGTATTGCTAATTGTTCAATGGCAAGAGGCCCTATAATACAATTCTTCCGCATTTATACCTCCAGAGAAAAACGCCTCTGTAGGGTTAGGGTTTCCTTGCTCTCCAATCGGTTCTTTCATTCTTCTGAACAGTCGCACAGGTCTGACCTGCCAAAATCCCTACTTTTCCACTCTATTGATCCATTTCCAACCACCCAATTCAACCCATTGAAGAACCAATTCAGGGTTTCAAATTTCAGCAAAAACCCATTTTCCACGCTTGTGGAAAATGAGAGTGGCAGTTCAGATTCGGCTAATATCCTCGCATCCGAGCCTAATGAGGTTGAATTGGAACCAAATGAGGCACAAACTTGCGATTTAGAGTCCAAATCTAATATGAATTTTGCCCGTACAGCGACTCGTGATCCAGCAGAAATTTATAGGGAGCTTCGTGATAGCCCGAAAAATGATAAACTAACCCGGGCGGATTGGGACACATTAGTGGAAGTTTTCCGGTGTTTTTCAAAGTCCGGTTGGGCTTCCAATCAGGCCCTTGCAGTATATATAGGGGCATCTTTTTTCCCGACTGCTGCGCATAAGTTTAGGAGTTTTTTCTTTAAGAAATGTCGCGTTGAAATTGTGAAGTATTTGGTATCCCTTGGCCCAGGCGATGAGGCTGAGAAGTTTTTGTTTCCGGTATTTGTTGAATTTTGTTTAGAAGAGTTTCCAGATGAAATAAAAAGGTTTAGGAGTATGGTGGTGTCCGCGGATATGACAAAGCCACATACATGGTTTCCGTTTGCTCGGGCAATGAAACGAAAGATTATATATCATTGTGGTCCGACTAATAGTGGTAAAACTTATAATGCATTGCAGAGGTTTATGGAGGCAAAGAAGGGTATTTATTGTAGTCCTCTTAGGCTTTTGGCTATGGAGGTTTTTGATAAGGTGAATGCATTGGGAGTTTATTGTAGTCTCCATACAGGACAGGAAAAGAAGTATGTTCCATTCTCAAATCACATTGCTTGTACAGTAGAAATGGTGTCGACAGATGAGTTGTATGATGTGGCCGTTGTTGATGAAATTCAAATGATTGCTGACCCGTGCAGAGGGTATGCATGGACCAGGGCTTTACTAGGATTGAAAGCTGATGAGATTCATTTGTGTGGTGATCCTAGTGTTTTGGCCATTGTGAGGAAGATATGTATGGANGGATTGAAAGCTGATGAGATTCATTTGTGTGGTGATCCTAGTGTTTTGGCCATTGTGAGGAAGATATGTATGGAAACTGGAGATGAATTGTTGGAACGGCACTATGAGAGATTTAAGCCACTAGTGGTTGAAGCTAAGACCCTCTTAGGAGATCTCAAGAATGTGAGGTCCGGAGATTGTGTTGTTGCATTCTCAAGAAGAGAGATATTTGAGGTAAGACTGGCAATTGAGAAGTACACAAACCACCGCTGTTGTGTTATATATGGTGCATTGCCTCCAGAGACTCGTAGGCAGCAAGCTAACTTGTTTAATGATGAAGATAATGAATTTGATGTCTTGGTTGCCAGTGATGCAGTGGGAATGGGTTTGAACCTTAACATCAGGAGGATTGTTTTTTATAGTCTTTCAAAGTACAATGGTGACAAGATTGTCCCGGTTCCGGCATCCCAGGTGAAACAGATTGCCGGAAGAGCTGGTCGGAGAGGAAGTCGATATCCAGATGGACTGACGACCACCTTGCATCTAGATGATTTGGGTTACTTGATTGAGTGCTTGAAGAAACCGTTTGATGAAGTTAAGAAACTGGGTCTCTTTCCATTCTTTGAGCAGGTTGAGTTATTTGCAGGGCAACTTCCAAATACTACTTTCTCCCAGCTACTTGAAAAGTTTGGTGAAAACTGCCTTTTAGACATGAGTTACTTCTTGTGCCGACATGATCATATAAAGAAAGTGGCTAATATGTTAGAGAAGGTTCAGGGAATATCTCTAGAAGATCGTTTCAATTTTTGCTTTGCCCCAGTTAATATCAGAGATCCAAAGGCAATGTACCATCTTCTGAGATTCGCCTCATCATATGCCCAAAAGCTGCCCGTTAGTATAGCGATGGGCATGCCCAAAGGTTCTGCTCGTAATGACACAGAGCTCTTGGATCTTGAGACTAAGCACCAAGTGTTGTCTATGTATCTATGGTTGTCTAATCACTTCAAGGAGGAAACTTTCCCATTTGTCAAGAAGGCTGAGGCAATGGCTACCGATATTGCTGAGTTACTGGGTCAGTCACTCACCAAAGCCTGCTGGAAACCAGAATCAAGGCATGCAGGGAAAGCAAAGCCTCAAGAGAAGAAAGATACTTATGAGAGGCCAAGGTCCCTCGTCAAGTTATATGAGAAGTGAGTTCTATTGAATAAATTGTATTCTTTTGTTTCATTCGAATAAATACGATGTTGATGTTTTCTGATAGCAGTATTGGTTTAGCATGTGTTTCTACCTACCAAAACCAATTTACTCCCGATACTTACGATTCATTGTGTGCTGAATGACAACTATCAAGTTTTATCTTCTATTTGTANGCAGTATTGGTTTAGCATGTGTTTCTACCTACCAAAACCAATTTACTCCCGATACTTACGATTCATTGTGTGCTGAATGACAACTATCAAGTTTTATCTTCTATTTGTATGTATTGCGCACACCCCGATTTTTCGCAACTATATTTCTGTCAAAGAGATTCTTCTGAAGTTTTAGAATTGTTGCTATTAATGTTCAACCATTTCTCCTTGCGCNATTTGTATGTATTGCGCACACCCCGATTTTTCGCAACTATATTTCTGTCAAAGAGATTCTTTTGAAGTTTTAGAATTGTTGCTATTAATGGTCAACCATTTCTCCTTGAACNTTCATTGTGTGCTGAATGACAACTATCAAGTTTTATCTTCTATTTGTATGTATTGCGCACACCCCGATTTTTCGCAACTATATTTCTGTCAAAGAGATTCTTCTGAAGTTTTAGAATTGTTGCTATTAATGTTCAACCATTTCTCCTTGCGCTGTCATGCTAATCTTTCTTATGAACTGTGGTAGTGGTGGCAAAGAAATAAAGACTTGNGTGTAAGACCATGACATGTGCTAGGAGAAATTGTCTTGATTGCATATTGGCACATTAATTGGAATCTTGTAGTTTACTAGGGTCAGTGATGTCTACATGAAATTTTACTGGACATTTAGCATTATTCTTCCTTCTTACGACCTCAATTTTGGTAAAGATGCTGGTTGTAGGNTGGTGTTGGTCTATGTCATTGTAATGGGATGTTTGGTATGGGGTGGCAAGAATAGTAAGATGTGGATAGGGCAGATCCAATTTTCAGAGACAAAAGTGCCTACCTTTCTTTCAAATTATTATCTGATTCTATTTGGNTGGTGTTGGTCTATGTCATTGTAATGGGATGTTTGGTATGGGGTGGCAAGAATAGTCAGATGTGGATAGGGCAGATCCAATTTTCAGAGACAAAAGTGCCTACCTTTCTTTCAAATTATTATCTGATTCTATTTGGAAGTCTGGAATGCCGTAGTGGTGGCAGACGAGTGGTGTATGTTGGTGGTGTGTTGCCAATCAAGGTAGGTGTGCAGATAAGCTAGCTTCTGCGGTTGGTGGTGGTGCTGGTGACAAGGATATGGCAGGTGTGGCGAGGGCCAGCAGAGTGTCATGGTGGTAGTAGGTGGTTATGGTAGCAATGAAGAATAGACAGGAGCGCAAAAAATGATTTTTTTCCCCCTCCATGTTTTATTTTACTCCTTATGTTACTTACGCAAAGAATAGTTGAGTTTTATGAGCACAGTTGCTAGCTTTTGGTGGTATCTCCTGCCACCCTAGTGAAGGAGGTGCATCATTTTGCGTATGTAGCTTATCGAAATGAATGTTGAACTTTTATGGACCAAGTGTACCTGATTTACTATAGTGGCACGAGTTGATTGTTCACTTAGAGGATGGCATTCTACCGTAGTGGTTTGGACTATTAAAATTTTTTGCATGAAAGATGGGTATGATTTTAGGTTTCTGTGTAGCAGTGGTGAGGATTTATTAGAAGACCCTTTCTAATATTGAGCTTTCATACTTGGTATAGGATTATCTTCAATTAATGTTCTATTGATCTTTACTAGTGAAGTAACAACACTTCATAATTTGATAATTGAGTTAAGCATTGATGGTATTCCATGTCTGATTAGACTATATATCTTATAGTGCTTCATTTCCACACAAGTACTAAATTGAAAATTCTAATATTTGTTTGGGTACCTTGCAGGAAAAGGCGTGAAAAATCCTCACTGCAACAGCATCTGGAGAAAGTAGCTGCATAGTGCGTCTTCCAATCAGTAGCTTCCCTGGGTAATTAGTTTGCAGGGGAACCCGCCTTCTTTCTGGAATAATTTTGTTAATGAGTCTCGGATAAGTTGTAATTTGGAAATACTTAGACTGCAAAATGATTTCATTACAAGCTCATTTTTGTATGCTTCTTAAGTTTGGGTAATGTTGAGAGGAACAAATACAAATTGAGTTTAATGTGCTCTTTTAGACTAAAACCATTACTTAAAGCCCATCTGCTGGACATGCTCTCCAAAGAAAATATCATTTAGGTCCAGTAATCATTGACCTGATATTTTACTCATTTTATATAATGCAATGTTCTGAATATATAGGTGACTAAGATTTCTTGATGATAGTAGTATTAGTTACATTCTACGCACCTTTGAGTAGATCAAACAATGAATACTATGATGAGCTAGAAAGTGCAAGACTGTGATGTTTTCTGTACGAGGATATACTTGATTGCATATTGGCATATTTGTGACAGGTCCATCACAAAGTTTTAAAAGCATTGGCTTAGTTTTTGTAGTTTTAGTCATCATACTTTGAACTAGATCAAACAATAGGTATTATGATGAGGCTGGAGGTGTAAGACCATGACATGTGCTAGGAGAAATTGTCTTGATTGCATATTGGCACATTAATTGGAATCTTGTAGTTTACTAGGGTCAGTGATGTCTACATGAAATTTTACTGGACATTTAGCATTATTCTTCCTTCTTACGACCTCAATTTTGGTAAAGATGCTGGTTGTAGGAAAAATAATAGGAGAAATCTGTACATGTTTTTGATGTAATCTGATTCTTTGCTGTTTTGGTATGTTAAGTTATTCAAAGTGCAATTTATGGCCTAAATTTGCAGGTATAGACTCGACCGCTTCAGCCAGCGCCCCAAGAAACTATGAATAGCACGTTAGCTCTGGGAGGTTGTCTCCTCAATTTCTCAATTACGATGGACATGGTTTTTGCTCTTCACTGGTAATCAAAGCTGCATTGACGACCTGGACTTGATGAACCATGGGCAACCTGCCACGTTTTGCTCAGTACAAAAAAAATCACGGGCGTAACTTTACTTGATCACTTCAATGAGCCCATGTCCTACCGCCTAGATGCTGTTCCATGGTGAATTAAATCGTCCCTGGCTGACTCCTTGTCTGGCTGAGCGTCAAACATTTGAGGACTTCTAATTCCTAAACAGCACTTGTACAGTAACTTGTTTGCGGAATATTGGGGCCTGTTTAGTTCGCATCTCCAAAAATAGTATCTGAAAATTATTTTTGGCAAGAATTTTAAGAATGTATTTTTAAAAATTTTTAGATTACAAAATCTGTATGGTTATATATTTTTTAAAATAGTTTTAAAGAACAAAAATTATACAATCTGTTTAAACAATAATCACAATTTTTACCTCTCTTTTTCTTTCCACTCCCTCGGTCTCCACAAAACACGAGCGTGCACACACACATGCAAACGCATGCATACACAGATGCACACGGATCTGTGCTCAAATCTGTGTAGAGAGAGAGAGGGGCGGTAGATCTAAAGTTTCCTCTGTGCTTGTTTAGTCTAAGAGACAAAGTGGAGAAAGAGAGCTGCAGAAGACAGCCTGTGTGTGTTCGTTCTGTTTGATGGACAACGTGGAGAGAGACAAAGAGGAAGGAAAAAAAAAAGAAGGAAGCCTTGCTATTAAGGGAACTTGAATGACAGATTTCATTAAAGAGGTTTGTTCTCCATGTTTCCATAGTTTTCAAATAAAAGTTTGAAAAATAAGTGTGGTTTGTTTTTTATTTTTTTTTCAAAAATTTGAGAACAAAAATGTTAACCAAACAAAAATGTTAACCAAACATGTTTTGATTATTTTAAAAATTTTGAAAAGGAAAACCAGTTTTACAAATTCAAACCAAACACTCCCACAAAATCTTGTTTGTAGGGCTGCTGCATGGTTATTCGTGTAANTTACTTGATCACTTCAATGAGCCCATGTCCTACCGCCTAGATGCTGTTCCATGGTGAATTAAATCGTCCCTGGCTGACTCCTTGTCTGGCTGAGCGTCAAACGTTTGAGGACTTCTAATTCCTAAACAGCACTTGTACAGTAACTTGTTTGCGGAATATTGGGGCCTGTTTAGTTCGCATCTCCAAAAATAGTATCTGAAAATTATTTTTGGAAAAATTTTAAGAATGTATTTTTAAAAATTTTTAGATTACAAAATCTGTATGGTTATATATTTTTGAAAATAATTTTAAAGAACAAAAATTATACAATCTGTTTAAACAATAATCACAATTTTCACCTCTCTTTTTCTTTCCACTCCCTCGGTCTCCACAAAACACGCGCGCGCACACACACATGCAAACGCATGCATACACAGATGCACACGGATCTGTGCTCAAATCTGTGTAGAGAGAGAGAGGGGCGGTAGATCTAAAGTTTCCTCTGTGCTTGTTTAGTCTAAGAGACAAAGTGGAGAAAGAGAGCTGGAGAAGACAGCCTGTGTGTGTTCGTTCTGTTTGATGGACAACGTGGAGAGAGACAAAGAGGAAGGAAAAAAAAAAAGAAGGAAGCCTTGCTATTAAGGGAACTTGAATGACAGATTTCATTAAAGAGGTTTGTTCTCCGTGTTTCCATAGTTTTCAAATAAAAGTTTGAAAAATAAGTGTGGTTTGTTTTTTTATTTTTTTTTCAAAAATTTGAGAACAAAAATATTAACCAAACATGTTTTGATTATTTTAAAAATTTTGAAAAGAAACACCAGTTTTACAAATTCAAACCAAACACTCCCACAAAATCTTGTTTGTAGGGCTGCTGCATGGTTATTCGTGTAACGGATCTTTATATAGTAATACATGGAAAACACTATTGGGAGTTGGAACCATAAGCACTACCTTATACAGTTTTCGTGTTAGAAAAAGAAAGAAAATGAAGCCAAAAGGTTCTGTTGCTGCTTGTATTTTGATTCTCCAGTATGTCACCCAGAGTAATGCATGTGGTTGGGGAAGTTTCCAAAGCATCCGTGACGTTTGAGAGTATATATTTATTATGTGAATATGTTTAGGTTTAACAACATGAAACAGCCAGCTGATCAAGAGATACTAAAATTTTTAGCTATTTTTCAAGCCCCTGCAAACCGAATAGTGCTTATGCTACTCTTCGTTCCGCATTCCTGAACAGAGATTATAGTGAAACTCAGAAAGCACACTCTGTAGAAGAACACCTCCATTGCAGAATAGCCTTGAAGCATTCAAAAGAAACAGATACCATTGACTCGCAACAGCCTGGGTGCTCTTCTTAAGTTACAAACCACAGACCAACAATACATTTGCCATTTATGAGCACAACTTCACTATGGCACTGTAGTTTTAAGTACACATATTTTTTTTTTTGCATGTTCCCCTTCGTCTCTCTCCAACAGAAGAATTCCTAAGTGGCTCAAATTGAAAACACTGGATTAAGGTGCGCTTAAATCTTATTAAAGGGAAAAATGCTCACTTCTTCAACAGCGCACTGCACTGTGCCATGATTTTTGATGCCCTAGTGATAGAATCTGTCATATAGAAGTTCTCTACGGCAGTTCCAAATGGGTCCATACTCATTTTCTGGCTGACATCAGGCTTCAATGAAGCAGAAAATGTAGCTGGTTCTCTCTCATCCACATTCAATAGATTCGGTGCCACGGTTCTTATACGGGATCGAACAGCGCTAAGGGAATCATAAGGCAGCGGGATACCTGACACCTCAGACAAAGCTCTGATTATTTTCCAATCATCCCTAGCATCACCAACTGTCGGGACTGCTGGTATTGTTATTTGAGCACACCCTTCAGTATTGGCATATGTTCCTTCCTTCTCAGTGAAAGCTGATGCTGGGAAAATTACGTTTGCACGGTACACACACCGGTCACCATGGTGCCCCTGATAAACCACAAAGGCATCCTCTGGAAGTTTCTCCAAGTTTGTATCATCAGCACCCATTAAATACAAAAATTTTGCAGATTCAATGCAATTGTCAGATTCTGGAACAAGTCCAAGGTCAAGAGATGCAGCTTGGGCAGCATTCAAAAGCAATACATTGAGCCCATTCCAGTCAGGCCTGATAATGTTCCCATGTTTCGCAATAGTTTCAACAGCAGAGAATATTGCATCCGTATCCTTCCGGTCAAAGATCCCAGCACCAACAATGATCGCTGGATTTTTAGCATTTGACAGGGCTGAGAAAAAGGGATGGCGACCCTCGGCAATTTCAATTAGTGTTTCGGGGCCTGTGCCGAGATGTTGGTGATCATAGTTCAAATCTGCTGGAGGGCCAATGTAACCCACCTTAGCTTGGGTTGCTCGAACAGTTTTGCGGATTCTGGCATTTACCATAGCAGCTTCAACCCTAGGCTGGCAATTCAAGATCATAATTTGACATTAGAAGAAGACAATAGTCAGAAAACATCACTGGTAAAAATCCACCTTACAGAACAGGATTATAGAGGCAGACTGGGAAACACAAAGAAAAACCTATAAATGCAGTTTTAAGAACACATGTATAATGTAAAGTGCCATGGTGGCCAAAAACAAAATAATCAGGAACAAATTTTCTATCCTACATGAAATTGGTATACTAAATTCTGTAAGACTCCATAATCATTGTCTTATCCTATGACAAACATAACTTGCCCTGGGCATTTTCTGTCTTTTATTGATCTTTTTTTATCAATGTTTAGAATGCCCAAGTCGCCTTAGGTGTTGGTCATTTTTTGCTTTTTATTTTTGTGGGGTTAGGTTTTTTCCTGTTTTGGGTTTTTTTTTGTTGGGGTGGGGGGGGTTGGAGGGTATTACCTAAATTTAGTTCTCTGCCAGTAAGAAGTGTGTAACTTGTTTCAATCAATTAAGCCTCATAAACAAGTGTTACCTATAATTAAATTTCAACAGACAGTAACTCAATGTGTCGTACCATAAATAGATACCTAGCAAACAATTGACTACATATCCGAAAACCAGCAAAGGCT